GCCGGATGGGCTGAATGGCCTGCTTCCACACTGTAGGGATTCCATCACTCAAAGAACAAAGACATATTAGTCACAGTCATGGAGAGCATGTCACTCAGTGCTTCCACAGCCAAAAGTCAAGTCGAATCCTTGTCTGAAGATGTCTTTCAGTAACTACAATGGAACCAGAAGGACTGTGAATATCTCTCATTGCAGTTCGGTGAGATGATGGGACACTGTCCAGCTGATTGCTTTTGTGTGCACGGTCTTTAAGGACACAACAACGAAAGAGGATCTTCTCAGACTTAAAGAAAGAACAAGGATATTTACAAATAATTCAAAAGGTACGTGCTTGAGTAAAAACACATTCCTATCCAGAACTGATGGTACACCAGCCAGGCTTGGTGTAAATGTTGCCTTTGGTGCATTTTGCAGGAATGATGCTGATTTTCCTTCTCTTGTCCACTTGCACTGCGTAACCAGCAAGGGTTAGTCAGTAAAGTGATGGACTATCCTCACAGAGTCATACAGCACGGAAACAGACCCTTCGGTCCAACCAGTTCATGCCAAATATAATCCCAAACTAAACTAATTCCACCTGCCTGCTCCTGGCCCATGTCCCTCCAAACCTTTCCTATTCATGTCCTTATCTTTTAAACGTTGTAACTGTTCCCACATTCGCCACTTCCTCAGGAAGTTCGTGCCACACAAGAACCACTCTCTGCGTAAAACATTCACCCCTCATGACTTTTTTTAAATCTCTCTCTTCTCACCTTAAGAAAGGGTCCCCTAGTCTTGAAACCCCCCCGCCCTAGTGAAAAGACACCCACCATTAACCCTGTCTGTACCCCTCGTAATTTTATAAACCTCTATAATGTCACCTTTCAACCTCCAGTGAAAAAAGTCCCAGCCTATCCAGCCTTTCTTTATAACTCAAACCTTCCCTACCCACTAAAATCCTGGTAAATCTCTTCGGAACCCTCTGTAGCTTAACAATATCCTTCCTATAACAGGGTGGCCAGAGGAAAGTTGTTGTTAAGACTGTACACTTGATTCAGACAGGAGCCCTTCAGCCCTGCTTGTTTAAATCCTGTGTCAATAAGCTTGACGCCAGTTTTAGTCAGTTAATCCTCCAGGCTGATGGGAAGTTGTTCAGTCGAGGGAAAATCCTGCAAAGAGTTTCAGACCTGATTCACTTTCTGAGATCTATGAATGAAGCATGCAGTGAGCTCAGAGGTAAAGTGTGACTTACTTCTTCACTGTCAGAATGTGAAGTCTGAATGAGCTGAACTGTGTAGAAAGGACAAGGACTTAAAAAAAAAACAGGACCAATGCTGGGAATGCATTCAAATGGCAACTGGGTTTGTGGCTCCTCCCAATTCGATAAAACACCATCACACTGCCTTTTTCAGAATAAAATACTAGCAAATACAAAAGCAAAGGGAAATGGAACCCCCAGAAAACCACATTTCACCTACTGAGGAAGTTATCAGGGGAATTCATTAGGAGCGATTTCAGGAATTAGACATCGTAGAGTCATAGAGATGTACAGCATGGAAACAGACCCTTCAGTCCAACTTGCTCATACTGACCAGTTATTCTAAACTAATCTAGTCCCGTTTGCCAGCATTTGGCCCCTATCCCTCTAAACCCTTCCTATTCATGTACCCATCCAGATGCCTTTTAAATGTTGTAATTGTACCAGCCCCCACCACCTCCTCTGGCAGCTCATTCCACACACACACCATCCTCTGTGTGAAAATGTTGCCCCTCAGGTCCCGTTTAAATCTTTCCTCTCTCACCTTAAACCTCTGCCCCTCTAATTTTGAACTCTGTTACCCTGAATAAAAGACGTTGGTTATTCACCCTATCTATGCCCCTCATGATTTTATAAACCTCTGTAACGTTACCCCTCAGCCTGCCACACTCCACAGAAAACAGACCCAGCCTCTCCCTATAGCTCAAACCCTCCAAAACCTGGGAGCATCCTTGTAAATCTTTTCCGAACTCTTTCAACTTTCGCAACATCCTTCCTAGAGACTTAAAGAAAAGTTGGAGACCACTGGCTTGGAGGAAGCACTGAGGATGGCAAGGGCACAAAATGTACTCTGGGTGGGGGATTTCAATATCCACCACCAAGCCTCACTCAGCAGCAGTATTACTGATCAAGCTGGTTGGGTCCTAAAGGACATAGCTGCTAGAGTGGGTCTGCGGCAGGTGGTGAGGGAACCAACAAGAGGGAAAAACATACTTAACCTCATCCTTACCAATCTGCCAGCTGCAGATACATCTGCCCATGACAGTATCGGTAAGAGTGACCATCGCACAGTCCTTGTGGAAACGAAGTCCCCTCTTCACCGTGTTGTGTGGCACTATCACCGTGCTAAATGGGACAGACTTTGCACTGATCTAGCAACTCAAGACTGGGCATCCATGAGGCACTGTGGGTCATCACAGCAGCAGAATTGTACTCCAGCACAATCTGTAACCTCATGGCCCAGTATATCCCCCACTCAACCATTACCATTAAGCCAGGGGATCAACCCTGGTTCAATGGAGAGTGCAGGAGGGTGTGCCAGGAGCAGCACCGGGCATACCTGAAAATGAGGTGTCAATCACCAGTAAAGTGATGCAAGGTGTCAGTAACAGTGCTATCAAGCAGCACCTGCTCAGTGATGCCCAGTTTGGGTTCCGCCAGAGCCACTCAGCTCCTGACCCTATTACGTTAAAATTTAATTGGATCAACAGTTGATAAGATCCCAAGATTGGATGAGCTGAATCTCAAAGGATTGCAGGAGGTGTCTAGAGAGATAGTGGATACATTAGCACTTTCAAATTTCTAGAGAGTCTGGACAGGCTCCTGTGAACAGGAAGATAACAAATAGAACCACACTGTTTAAGGATTAATTTGATTTGATTTATTCTTGTCACATGTACCGAGATACAGTGAAAAGCATTGTTTTGCTTCCAACCAATCACACCTTACATTAGTACATCAGGGTAGTAGAACAGAATGCACAATATAGTGTTACAGCCACAACGAAGGTGCAGAGAAAGATCATCTCTAACATAGAGTCATAGAGTTATACAGCACAGAAACAGACCCTTCGGCCCAACCGGTCTATGCCGACCATAATCCCAAACTAAACTAGTCCCACCTGCCTGTGCTTGGCCCATATCCCTCCAAACATTTCTCATGCATGTACTTATCTAAATATCTTTTAAACATTGTAACTGTACCCACATCCACCACTTGCTCTAGACATTGATTCCACACACGAACCACCATCTGTGTCAAATATTTACCCCCATGTCTTTTTTAAATCTTTCTCTTCTCACCTTAAAATATGCCCCCTAGTCTTGAAACTGCTCCCCCCCCACCCTGTGGAAAACACATCTGCCATTCACCTTACCTATACCCCTTAATATTTTATAAACTTCTATTAGATCACCTCTCAACCTCCAACCCTGCAGTGAAAGAAGTCCCAGCCTAAGTCTAATGACAGCGGGGAAGTAACTGTTCTTGAATCTGTTGGTACATGTTTTCAAAATTCTGCCCAATGGAAGAAGGGGGAAGAGAGTATAACTGGGGTGGGAGGGGTCTTTGATTATGTTGGCTGCTTTCCCGAGGCAGCGGGAAGTATAGATGGAGACAGTGGAAGGAAGGCTGGTTTGTGTGATGGACTGGGCTGTGTTCACAACCCTCTGTAATGTCTTGTGGTCTTGTGCAGCGCAGTTTCCATACCACACTGTGATGCATCCTGATAGGATGCTTTCTATGGTCTATCTATAAATCTTGGTAAGAGCCTTTATGGACATGCTGAATTTCCTTACCCTCCTGAGGAAGTAGAGGCCTTGTGCTTTCTTGACCATAGCACGAACGTGGGTGAACCAGGACAGATAGTGGGTGACCATCAAACTTTAGGAACTTGATGCTCTCAACCCTGTCCACCTCAGCGCCATTGATGTAGACAGGGGTGGCCCTCCACCTTGCTTCCCGAAGTCAATAACCAGCTCTTTCATTTTGCTGACTTTGAGGGAGAAATTGTTATATTCACACCATGCCACCAAGCACTCTATCTCTGTCCTGTACTCTGTCTCATTGTTGTTTGAGATCTGGATGACAACGATGGTGTCATCGGTGAACTTGTAGATGGAATTTGGCCGCACAGTCACGAGTGTATAGGGAGGATAGTAAGAGACAGTCTCATGCGAGGATTATCGTGGAGGAGGTGTTGTTGCCTATTCT